AACATATGTACATGAGTAACAGAAATTACAATTAAGGCATATGAATTTTAAAAAATGTGAATTTGGAAATTCATTGCTTGATATGGAAATCTGTTTCAATCACAAATATTTTGAATGGAAAATTATAATCTCTGATTTAAAATTTTCGCCGCCATTATTCAAAAATGAAAAAGATTTTCCCTAACTATTGATATTGTAAAGTTACATGTATGTAAAATACAATCACTAAAACAGTGTATACTTGCAAAAGAAAATTTGAAAAAACTAAAATAATAAGTTTTAAAAAATAAAAATACATTTGTACTTACTGTTAGAAATGGTTATATATACAATGATATACAAATGTAGTTCCCTCCATTTTCACTGAATCATGAAATACACATGTTTAAAAAAAGTTCATATTTCCAGAAAACTTTTTGTAAATTTGTCCAGTTTAAACTCATTTGATATAATATTCAATGCTCAAACATAATTTTTTTCAAGTTATAACTTTTAAGCAGTTAGTCACTTATAAATTATATTTCAATGCTTTCTGTTTAAATGACCCGCCTGGAAGGAGTGTTCTGACCTGTGATTTGTTCTGCAAGGGTATTAAGTTACTTGGGAACTACAGTGTAATATAGTAGGTTGTAAACCTACTTTACCTCTTTCTATTCTCTTATATCAGATAGGTGAGTTTAACTTTTGGTGTTTATGAAAAACAGTTGGTTCCACTTGAGGGCTCATAAATATTTACATTGTGGCTGATGCTGATTTGAATGTTCAGAAATTAATCACTATACATAAGTTACCTCTACACAGGATGAATATATAGATAAATAATTATATACTTCAATAGAGATACACATAATAAATTTATCATCAATTTTAATAATAAAGAAACATAAGTGCATAACAATTACATTTGTTCTTAAATTTAGTTGTTTCTCTTTAATTGTGTATTTATTTTTTCCAACTAAGGGTAATATATAATTATGAACCTCTCAGATCTGAGGCTTGATATGAGATACCTTGAAAATAATGAGAGTTAAATGAAAAAAATACCTAAATGCATTTTTAATGCCAAAGTGTGGCAATGGAGTTGCATGTGTTTTTTATAAGCTTTTTTTTTTTTTGCAATAAAAAAAGAAACAGTTGAGCTCTTGAGGGGGTTATTAAGGTTTCATTTTGTTTAACTATAAGTGTTTATTTTGCTAACTGCTACTTTTAATTACAATGAGTACACATGTTGACCAATCTCAATGCTAAGTAATTAAATTCATTTGTTCTTGTTGTTCAACATTGTGTTAATGCCATATTTTAAATTGTCTTTTTTTTTTATTATGTCTTAAAACCAGAAAACTGTCTTAATAATTGAAAAAGATTATTTATGACTACTTAGGAAAAAATATTTTAGTTAAATGTATTAAGTGAAGTATATGTAAATGCAGAAATAAAATGAAAATTTCCTAAGTCCAAAACTTTCTAAAAAATGACTAAGTGTTTTCCAGAGTAAAACTCCTTGAAAATTGTCTAAGTGTTAACTTTCCAGAGTTTCCAGAACTGTTTCATGGTTATTTCTTTGATGAAAAAGTCAAGTTCCAGAGTTCTCCATGAAAATTGTTCCAGAGTACTCTGTAAATACTGTGGAAAAAAGCTTGTTTCCATGAAAATTCATGGAAATTCATGGAAAATCAGTTATTTTCCAGAGTTTTTCCAGAAAGACTGTGGAAAATCTACAGACGGGAACGGAAACAATAGTTAGTCGATATGTCACATCTGATTGATAATGCTATGTAATTGAACAAATGTTTTATTATTTTCCAAATAAAATATTATAATGCATTTGAGACTTTTTCTGTGTTAATAAACATATTTTATTACTATAAAAAAGCAAGGAGTACCAAAGGGGCTATCAGATCTCATAAATCCATTGAAACGAAGACAAAACCAATACACACAGAAGACAATCACAAAACAGATAAACACAGAACACACCCAAACGCCAGCTGACAAAGCGAACTCTCACACAAAAGTGAGAGTGAACTCAGGTGCTCCGGAAGAGTAAGCAGTTCCTGCTTGCGGTAGCACACTCGTCGCCAAAGCCAAGTGAACGTCTAGGATTGTCAAATCCGGTTCAGGGAGTAAAAAATCCCTATGACAAACCGACATCTCTACTCATCTGTGAGATCGAAATCTCATATTTGTCCACGAGCATATGATGCCTTCCTTAGAACTTCTTAAGAGACATCAACAACCTTTGAGCAACATAACCCTGGGAAAGCAGTTTCCTTGTCAGAGGCGATGCCCTATCAAGGAAATCATTGTATTTCCCGCATGCTCTGGAGTAACGTACAAAGCGTATAAACCGTGTACACCAAGTATAAGAAATGTACAAAGCGTTTAGGCCGTTTACACCACGTATACCCAATGTAGAAAGCGTTTAGGCCGTTTACACCACGTATACCCAATGTACAAAGCGTTTAGGCCGTTTACACCATGTATACCCAATGTACAAAGCGTATAGGCTGTTTACACCAAGTATACACAATGTATCATCAGTGATATATGGTCCAATGTATACACCAAATTTTGTACACGAAGTATACGACCTGTACAGTGGTGTACACGGCCTATACGCTTTGTACATTAGGCATACGCCCTGTACAGATCGTATATGCATACGCCCTGTACAGGGCGTACACTTCGTGTACAAAATTTGGTGTATACACTGGGCCATATATAACCGATGATACATTGTGTATACGTGGAGTAAACGGCCTATGCGCTTTGTATATTGAGTATACGTGGTGTAAACGGCCTATACGCTTTGTACATTGGGTATACTTGGTGTAAACGGCCTATACGCTTTGTACATTGGGTATACGTGGTGTACATGGCCTATACGCTTTGTACATTGGGTATACGTGGTGTAAACGGCCTATACGCTTTGTACATTGGGTATACGTGGTGTACATGGCCTATACGCGGTGTACATGGCCTATACGCTTTGTACGTTAGGCTTACATTCTTGAAATCAAAGCCAAATAATAATCAGACGGTTCAGATGCCGCTGTCTGATTCACAAAAGGAGAATGGTATGACTTAAGATACTTCTCAACAGAAGAGCAATGAGCCTCTGCAGAAAATGAGCCAAATATGCAACCACCTGCATCCATAATTTTAATTGAGGCTGAAAAAAATGGATGCTATTTCCGATAATGTTAAAATAATAGGAGCTAGTTATGATGGAACTCAGTGGTACCGCATTCACTTTGTAAACGGGTCTCGACGCTGGCTTGGCTATTACCCAGTACCTGTTGTGGCTGCAGGCCCACTAAAGCGAACCTAACTCGATTAACTCAATTAATATTTGGAATTAGATTATTTTTTGTTCAGTGTGTATTGAGTAGTCTGTTTTGTGGGAAATCTGTTGCGCCAAAATGACGTCTCCAAACTTTCTTTTATTTCTTCAAATAGCGGATCAGTGGGATTAAAGAGGTAAATTAAAATGTTACAGAACATTCAGTGCATATAACTGCTGTATTATTCCTCATTAACATTCGGATAAGAAATGCTTTGGATACTATGTTAATTGTATTGATTGTGGAAGTCTGCAATTTATTAAATACTAACTTATAAATGAATCTGAAATTTATCAATGTACTGTAAATTGTAATTACAGTTTGACGGAGTTGCGTTGACCTACAGTGGGAAATAAACTTCTGTTTAACTCTCCACATTGTTCTGGTTATTTTGCTATTATGAAGTAACAGCCATGTTCTCTTGCTCTTGGAATAATGTAGATTTGTAAAAACGACATAATAATTTCATTTTGAAAAAGTATAATGGCCTATTTTGCCTTCGTGGACAGTGTATTATTATATTTTAGGCAGTAAAGACCAGGTCAGACTGTTCTACCCCCTGGGTCACCAAGGAAATTGTCACAATATTCATCTGGAAATTCTAACAGTGATAAGTAGTCTTTGAGCAAGAACATTGAAACCACAAAAGACCATGTTTTTATGTCTAAACACATTAGAAAACTCACTGAGGAAGCCATGGAGAATTATGAGGAAAAAGTTGCTAGGTTCCATAGAAGATTAGATGAATGTGCCGATGATTTAAAGCTAATTTGTGAGGAGAAAGAGAATATGTGTCAAAGCAGTCACCTACCTTGAGGTAAGATTGATATTCAATAATGACAAATTCAGATTTTAATCAGTATTTAGAGGCAACTAAAACTTAAGAAAGCAATGCACTGATGCTAAAAGTTAAAGAAAAGTCAGATATAATGTCAAAACTGGTATAAGTCTCCACCCACATTGACACCTTGAACCAGGACATACTTGCATCAGTTACAAAGAGATCTATAAGTAGTTGAAAGTCAAACTCCTCATGTGTACTTATAGCAAAACAGGCAAATGCTGAAGCATTAAAAGCTAGAATTTCATTTGCTGAAACAGAAGCGAAAACAAGAGAGCCATGATGGTGCCATGGTGAATGGTGCCATGCATCCAGAGCAACAACCTCAGGAACATCTCGTTACAGCTACCAGGCCAGTTAAAGACTCATTTTCACACTCCCCCCATCCTTTCTTTTAGGAATAGATTCCAAACTGATGGGCCGAATTTGGGCAAATGAGTATAAAGATCTGGCCTCATTAGCCGAAGAGACAGAAAGCAACGACTCTTTCAGATTAGTGGAGAGTACAAATGGCACAGTCGCTTTGCAAAAATTGCCTCAGCATAAACGCATAGTCTCTCTGAACCAATGGAATACAGCATTTCATAAATATATCTCAATACTAACAGAAAGCCAACACTTGTTGGTACCATTCCTCATGCAATATATGGAGCATATTCGACGTTTAGCCCAGAGAGCTTGGGACCAGGCAGTCTTTTACTATGACAGAACATTCCGTAAACTTGGCCAGTGCGAGCCATCTTTGAGTTTTGTGAAACTTCATGCTAGTACATACACTGAATCTATTTGTATGGGATTGAGTGATCATCTATCATCCTGACCCTTTCGTTTCAACCAAGCAAACTTCATCTTCCAAACCATGCTTTAATAACAACAAAGGCATCTGTTCCAGGCAACAATGCATCTACCAGCATGCCTGCAAGAAGTGTTTCGGGCCACACCCAAAAAAATTGTGTCCCCTGCCAAAGAATGATACCGCCTCAAAACCATCAAGTCATTCAATCAAAACAGTCACATCTAAAAATGATTCCCACTCCTGGGCTATATCAAATTTCTCAATGGCTCCCACAGCCCCTATTTAAGCCGATAAACTTGCATATTGGTCAACTTGCTATGACAAAAGTGAAATTTTTTTTTTAGATGGTTTACTCATGGCTTCACCATTCCTTACAATGGTTCACGTACTTCTTGTTCTGCAAACAACCTTAAATCTGTACGAGAAAATCCTTTAATTGTATATGATAAAATATCTGATGCAATAGTTAAAGAACATGTGGCTGGACCTTTTCTAAGCCGCATTGTTTACATTTTGCATGTACCGGTAAATGTTTTTTTTGTTAATTTGAGAGACTGACAACCATAAATAATGTCAGAATTATAAAGATTAATGATTTATTTCATCAATTGTTTACATATTTTCTTGTAAACAGGATACAGTTAGCTAGGAAGTTGCATGTAATTTTACTCAATAAACCTTGACAGGTGTTGTTGTTGTTCGCTAATGCATTATGGGTTGTATTAGGGACCACGGACATTTAGGACCAGGCACTGCGGACCAGAATTTTGGTCATTTTGGACCATGATGGGGACACTTCGGACCAGACATTTATTCCTTTTATATATATAATTATTTGTTATTTCAGGATGTATTTACAAGATTTTCTAATAATAAATGCAACAAATATTTGACATTAATTAGAAGCTAGAAGCACATTTGCATAAAATTATCTAAAAATCTCAGACTATATTCGTCCTACAAACCCCTTGTTCACATACGATAAATAAGCAGCACAAAATTATTGTAGACAATACGGTAGTCGCTGACCGAGATAAACTTGTCAAGTGCTCTGGCGGGGAAATTATGATGTAACAGGCATCAGTTTACCTGTGTTGTAAACAACTTGATTTAATGATTTAATCAATACACAATGGAAGGTTGCACTTCTTCTGGGCAAGGCCAGAAAAAGAAAACATACACGAATGCATTCAAAATGAAAGTTGAATGTTACTTGGAAGTTACAACGGTTACTTTTTTTCTGTTTATTTTTTAAATACACTTCGGATATTAAAACTTTCAAGTCTGGTAAGATTTTCTTTTCATTTTTCACCCAGGGGGTGCTGATTAGAAGGGGGGCTATAAATAAAAACAATACCGTATTTAAAGTAAATTTTTACCAAATTAAATCGTGTTCTGGCAGGTAAGAAAGAACAACGACATCCTTGTCAATGCAGTTTTTCACACGTTTTAATTTTGAAGTGCCTAATATTATTATATACGTAATTATATTTTATTTTTTTCCAGATAGTTTACAGCGACCAAGACGCTATACATCAACTAATGAGGAAACTTTTCGTTCTACCACTGTTGCCAGCAGAAGACATCCAAAAAGCCTTTGAGAAGCTGAAGATGAAGACCATGAACAGGACCAACAACAGCCGTCTTGATCAATTCTTCAATTATGTGGAAAATACTTGGGTGAAGCCAGTGAGATGTGGCCAGTTTCAGCGTGGTCAGTCTTCGGGAGAACCATCAGAACCAACAATGATGTGGAGGGCTGGCACGCAAGACTCAACCGACACACTAAGAAGGGAAATCTAGCATTCTATCTGTTAGTGGAACTGTTGTTCAGGGAAGCCAGAGAGATCCCTATTCTGTGTAAACTTGTGAGAGACATTCAAATATTTTGTACATGTGTTTTGTGGTCTATAATTATATAAATGTATACATTCAATGGTTTGTATGTGTTTGTACGATAATATATATATATGATTTTTTTATAAGAATATGTTGTAAATAATCTATTTCACAATGTCTTTTTGTATATACAGTAAAAACTCTGAAAACCGGACCCTCTGAAAACCGGAATCCTCTGAAAACCGGACCATTTTAAAAGTCCCGTATTTTCTCCCTATATGTTCATTGAAAAAAAATCCTCTAAATACCGGAACCTCTGAATTCCGAAAACCGGACGATTTTTTATGGTTTCTAATGCTAAACATGCATTAAAAATCCTCTGAAAACCGGACAGCAATTTAAAGTGTCAACTTTCTGTGTATTTTAATGTTGATCTAAACATAATCTCAACAGGTGACATGTTCAAATACCAGGTTATGGTCATCTCCTTTTATCTATGCAGGTGTGAAAACACTTGTCAGTGTATGTTAATTTCTTATTGTCAATTAAATTATAGCTCTTTCATCATATTTGTGCTTTTCCTCATGTTTTTCAAAAATGTTTTTAATGTGTTATGATTTTTTTTATATAAAAGGTCTAAAAGAGTTCAGAAACTGTTTTTAAAATGATTCCTGTTTTGCTTTAAATTTTGATCATGAAGTTATCTTTGTTTTGATATCATTTATAGGCAAAAATAGTAATACTAAATAAATACCATTAATAACATATTTCAAAGCTAATGAAAAAGATATTATGATATATTTCAGACAATGTGGTGTTTTAATTTCTGATTTTCTGAATTATATTCATGGATTTGCATAATAAAATTACTTAAGACATTTATTGCAAAAAGAACTTAAAATATGACTTAGACAAAAGTGTTGAAAAGTAAATACAAAATGATTGAACAATGTCATTGTTCAAACACATTATAATTATCAATGAATGTATAAAACCTCTGAAAACCGGAATCCTCTGAAAACCGTACTTTTGGTCAAGTCCGCACAGGGTCCGGTTTTCAGAGTTTTTACTGTACTTTATTATAAAATAATTGTTTGCAAACGTGTGTCACTTAAACATTGCCTGTTTGTTTTTTAATTTTCTTCATTTATAGTGCAAAATATATAAAATCTAAATCGGGATAGGACTGGTGTAAAATCGTTCCATGGTGTCTTATATATCGATGGTCTCACTATAAAATGCCGAAAGTACAAAAAGTAAACTTTTCAGGGGAAGCAAAAAACTGATTTTCATGATAAATCAGAAAAATACAAACAATTTTTTGTTGCTAATTAACATCTTATATAGTATCTTTTCAATGTATGATCTCAATGTAAAAGTAATATCTTCTGTTTTGGCAAAAAAAGCAGCTATTTTATAAAATATGACGGCATGGACCTGTTACCATATTTTATTCTCCTGTATTAAGACAAATTATTACCCTTATTTCATTGTGCCATTTGTAAACACATTTCCTGAATGTGCAAAAACTTTATTGCGTTTATAGGCCCAAAGAGGTAAAATAATTAAAATAAAATACTGTATTAAATGTTTGAATTATACAAGATTGTCATATGCGACTTGATATATATCGTTTAGTTCAGTTTTATCGAACTCCTCATGTGTACTTCGAGCAAAACAGGCATACGCTGAAGCATTAAAAGCTGGAATTTCATTTGCAGAAACAGAAGCGAAAATAAAGAGAGAAGCTGCACTACTGGAAGAGAAAGAACGTGTAATTGCGGCTGAAACAGCAAGAAAGAAAATAGAACTACAAACCCAACTAGAACTTTTTAAGGAAAGAAAGAATATCGCTGAAGCAGAGGCAGAGATTGAGGCGCTTGGATTGTTAGTCGGGTCAGAACAAAATTCGATAAGTGGAATGCCTAAAACCAATGCATTATGTGTGTACAACGAGCAGCAGTTTGTTTCTCAACACGGCTCAGCAAATATTATAAGAGTGGGGATCAAATAATTAAAATCAACATGAATGAATAAAGATTATGACCGAGTTGGACTCCTGGAAAAACAGCAACAACAAAGATTGCACCACAAATTATGGCAGACAATATTTCAAAAGCTCTACCATTTTCCCATGAAGTACGGTATGTGGGGTTCAAATAAACAGAAAACACCTTTATGTTTCAAAAACTACCATTTTCTTGTGAATTACAGTCTGTGGGGTTCACATAAACAGAAAACACCTTTATGTTTCAAAAACTACCATTTTCTTGTGAATTACAGTATGTGGGGGTCACATAAACAGAAAATACCTTTACTTAACAACAATAAGGTAATCTGTCCTCACTGCCAGAAGAAATAAAAGAGACAAAATAACTTCAAACACCACTTGCAGCAGCACCCAGAAAACATTTGGTCAAACACTGAAAGCAATAGGTAACATCAAATATACTAATTTTAGTTGTCCAGGTCTTAAAGGCCATGATTTTATCTTGTTTTCTCTCGCCTATGTAATTTCAAAGTGACAAATTTAAGTGGTAAAATTTGAAATAGCATGTGAACTTTTTTCTTCTTCATCTTATATGCTGAATTCTAACACGACCCGCATTTTTCCCTATTGAACATAGAAGAACCGAAAGTGTGTGTTATTATGCAATAAAATCACTGTTTGACGTTCTATATTTAGACATGTGACGTAATCATTATACACGTGACGTAACCACTAAAAATGTGACGCGCTGACAATAAGTACGGAAACAAATCAGACGCAATTTAGCTAATTAACATGTACGGCAGCATTTATTTGTTGATGTCGTGTTAGAATCGAAATAATATATCCAAATCGATGATTTTATTGCTTGATAACATCACTGTTTGTCGTTCGGATGCGCATCATTATATCACTCGGGCTACGCCCTCGTGATATAATTCCCCGCATCCGAACTCCAAACAGTGATGTTATTGAGCAATAAAATCACAGTTTGTGATATATTATTTCTTAATTAACACACTCTAAACTGTCTCACGGTATGTTATTTTAAGATACGGTTGATCACACCGTTTGGGTGAAGAAATTACATGATTGCCATGTATAAACAAACATACATTAAAATCTATGCTTTATTTAGTGTAACATATAAATTATCATTTATTTTAAATAAATACATTTATGGATGTGACATATTATTGTATTCAAGAAATATAGTGGTGTTAGCCTACAGTCTGGTATTGCAATAGCAAACGGGTGTTAACCTGCTGTCTGGATAGAATCTTATCGGACAGTTTTTAGTTAGTACATTAACATCAATTAGCAGCCATTTTGTATTAACAAAAAGATAAGAAAAAGAAATTGTTAAAAACACAGAGATAACGGGTTAATGTTTTGTTGTACTTGCAAGTGTCTCATCTGCTCATTGCTGATCGACGAAATTCAACATTTAAGTAACGCTGAAATACTGACTATATATTGTTTAAAAGATGTGTATGTTGGTATTAGGTACATCTCATATCAACAGACTTCAAAATTATTTAGTTTGACAACACAATGCAAATAATTTATTTAATCTGAACAATTATCCGCCGATTAATTTGCATGGAATATCGGGTGGATGTGTCAACAACTGAGTCCATGTTACTCGCTGGGAAAGGAGCATTGCTACATTCAGGCCAAAAGTGTTGGTGTTACATTTTGGAGGAAACAATTTAGATTCACGAAGAGATGTCTGTGATAAATTTCGCTGAAGGTAGTGAATTTGGCAATCACATGGCATGCACGATATAATGTTCAATTTGTGGTGATCCTTGTCACATCTCTTCGATCGATTATTTAACACGTACTTTGGTCCAAGTAAACAAGATGTTAAAAGACGAATGTCGTCACTGTGACATTTTGTACTGGAAGATATCTGGGGTGAAATATCCAACTCAGCCTATTTTCTGTGATGGTGTACATTTTAATGATGACGGAATGCTGCGTTACTACCGTAGTTTACGTGGTGCAATTATCTACGCTAGTAAATAATTGATGTAAACATAGTGAAATGTTATTGTGTGAATAGCATCAACTTTGTGATATGTGACTGATGTTTTTGTTTTTAGAACTATTGAGTCTACATGTACATCCTTGTTTAATTATGTTAACATGCTCAAATGGTTCAAATAACATAGATTTTTTACAATTACAACATGCTATAAAACTTTCATCACAAATGCATGTTTTTCTTACATGCTGAGAATCATGTTGACAGTTAATGAGTTATCTGTTTATTTTGTTTTAGAATTTATTAAGTTATGATTTAAATATGTTAGTGTTTTGGCGTTAGTATTTTTATTTATTCATGCATTTATTGGTTTATTTAACAACTGAAATATGTTAGTATTTCAGTGTTAGTATTTTATGTTATTCATGCATTTCTTTGGTTTAATTAATAACAAATGAAATAACAACTTTGCCAGTGTGAGCCATCTTTAAGTTTTGCGGAACTTCATGCTAGTACATACACTGAATCTATTTGTATGGGATTGAGTGATCGTCTATCATAACGGCCCTTTCTTTCCACTAAGCAAATTTTTTTATTTGCAGCTATCACCTGGAAACATGAGGCTGTTTTACTTCTTATTTCTTTGTATGGTGAAAACAAAGAGAAATTCACAATGTTACAAACAGAAAGATGTCTGGAAAATTATTTCTGCAAATATGTTAAGACATAGGGGAGTTAATTCGGGAAAAAAATCAACAGTTTTTACATTTGTATTTCTAAAGAGAAAGATTCTTTTAGGAAAATTAATCTTTTTTAGCAATTGGAACAGTGTAATTAAGGAAGATATCACTGTAATATATTTCATAGCTAGATAAAATCTTTTATGTCATTGTGGCTACTTTTCTTTTCTTAAACACAAGTTATCAGTTCGGTAATTAAACACCACTTTTGCTTTTCTGTTAATTTATTATGTAGTTTAATAGCCAATCAGAAAGTGTTCTTCTTACACATGATCATTATCCACCAATCAACGTCCAGCTTCCTCATAACAAAGAAATTGTTCAGAATGTTCTTGCTTGTTTCATATTGCTAGACATATTCCTGCTTAATATGAGAAATTTTTCATTTGTTTTCCATTTGGATGTATACGGTAAACGTTTACACAGTTACTACTGTTTTAAATTAACTTGGGATCACTGCATCACGGATATGATAAAGTTCTTAATTTTGGTGCTTTGCGGCCTGGTTACGTAAAATTTTGGAAACAAAATGTCGTCAACTATACAGATTATTTGACATTCATTTGTGACTTGTTTCAAGTGATTCATTAGAGACAAAGCTAGTTTCAAATTTAATTTGAATAAATGTCATGTTACCCTCTTATCCAATCCAATATTCCTGCTATTCGGGGGCACATGTACACACTCTACAGGACAATTTAACGGACGTTGCAGATTTTTATCCCGATATAGCAGTGATAATTATAGGCACAAACGATCTTTATTCAGTGGACACAGATCTGATTTCTGTAACAATGAACATAGTGGATCTGGTTGATAGGTTGCTTTTCATGGAAAATGTGCAAATTGAACAAGCCTTTGTTATTGCAATTTTCTTCTTCAGTACAGGTCAAGGCTTGGATGTTCAATTTTAGTTTGACAAAGTTTTGATAATTTTTGTCGAACAATTAATCTTTTACACTCTGTTAAACATATGATGGGTTTCATTTATGCTATATTCATGTTTTTCAGATGAATCAACATAAGCGCTCCGCTACAGTGAGTGCTTGTACTATGCCTTGTTGCATGCCTCAAACAACAGCAATGAAGAAAGCAAAGAAGGGGAAAACACACCAAACAAAACTTGGTAAATCAAACCGGAGCCTTGATAATGGTGGTATTAAAGAATCTTCTGCTCAAAAGAAAATATCATCAGGATAAACAATTCCAACTACATCCCTCTCTCACAAGCCAAGCACAACACACATTGATGTGGAAGAAAGTTCGGAAAGTGAAATTGACTCAGTTTCAAACCAGAGTCCAGCTGCGATTGCTTCATTGGATTCGGAGAGTGATTACATGAATCCAATGGCAGATGTAACAAACAATCACTCCTGCTTGGTGACAGGTACACACAGCGTTAGGTTTTTGGAACCAGTCTGAACACCAATTTCTTATTCTGTTCCTAAGTCAATTGCCAAAAAGATCAAACACAAGAAATTTATAGACTTTGCACATCTCCTACCTCAGACAACAGGTTACCAAACTCCCAGTTTTGCACTTACTTATAATAAACTCTAAAGATCAACTAAGTTTAGCGCCCTCCAATAAATCGAAGAAAATCTATAACATTGATACATGGACTACTGCCTTTTTAAGGTTTGTAGCAATCTACTCTGGTTACTACCCATACGAAACTCCTCAACTAATGAAATATGGGGAAATAGTTAGGGATCTAGCACATCGTCGTCAAGGCATGGCCTGGTCGTTCTAAGACAGCCAATTTCAGATGTCCAGGGATCATGCCATTATCCCCTTGGATACATTACACACAGGATTCTGGGTTATGGCTACTACTCAACCAACCAGATAAAGATCACCAACAACAACGAGAAGAGTGGGAGAGGAAGAAGTACATGTAGTACTATGATGCAATGGAAGAACTTCTGGCTGGGGATCCAGCAATTAGACCAATAAAAGTTGTTGTGTCTAGTACTGCAACACCTGCTGCAGAGTCCACATCAACAGGTTTGTTTTGATAACTTTATTTGCCCAACAACTATGAGTCCAAGAAATCTTCATGCATTATTCTAACATGTCTGCATCACTGTGTTACATACTATTAAACAAAGAGGGCCTGTCAACACTTCGTTATTCAATACATAATATATCACAGTTGGTGCTAGTAGTGATACATATGGCCGCTACCATTTAACTGTGTGTAAAATAATGAATGAAAGTCCATGTACATGTAGCGGTGCGGAAATTTAGTGGTGTATTCTGACTATTTGGTGGTGTTCCACCGTATCACAAAAATATATATAAACAGCTGATCTTACGTAGCGCTTCATTCTCTTTCCGGTTAGGCTGTCAGATAGATCTATGGTAGGTAGGAATTTTGTATTCATATCTAGCCATCCTTCTAAAAAGTCAAATGTATTTAGTTTGATTTTGGTTGAGTATTTGGTCTCACGTTATTATTTTAATTGTATTGAGATTATTTACATCGATATTAGGGCTGTTAGAATAACTACTGTTACTCTGTCTAATTTGCATGTACACTTTTATTTTTCACAATATAGGAATGAGAGAGAGACGCACATGCCAAGATTATAATGTTATATGTCGATAGGAGCTTATCCTTTGTAAGTGTTGACTTGAATTATTATTATTTATTAAACTAAACTTTGTAACATATTTGTTTAGAATTAATAAGTTGACAAGATGCTGTTTCAGCTATCTATTGATATTGTTTGAACCATTGATATTGTTTGAACCATTGATATTGTTTGAACCATTGTGTGAACTGTTGAAAATGAGAAATGTTGTAATGCTGTATTAATAATTATTTTTGTAATGAGTTGATGCTTTTTATTAATAAATTCTTCTTGGTTTCGGCACGTTTTTATAGACTAGGTCATAAAGAATTGAAAGAAAGCTATTACACGTCAAATTTATATGTAGAAAAGAAAACTGTATAAATCAAGATGAAGCTGAAACCATTGTAGTTGTTATTCATCCATCCGTATCCATCTCACACAAGAAACCCCCCTGTAACATACATAAGTGTAGTACATAAATGATGTCAATCTGTGAAATATCTGTTGCACATAAGAATCGACACATATTCCTGTTGACGCTATCTTAAATGTCAGGGGCAGTAATCACTGGATGGTTGTTCAAGAAATAAATTCAATGTAGGCTAGATATAGATTTATTACAATGAACCATTTAAAATGTTCTTGATATATGAAGGAGTACTTTGGATATCATTCAGGTGATTAGGTTTAATCGATCATTCTTATGCCTAGTGAGTAAATTCCTACAGAATGATTAATTTGTCCATATAGTCACTGGTAGAAAACAAGTGAGTTGTGTATCTTTCACATTTGACATTATTGTTGAACTTGGTTTCAGCATATAATAACAGTACATGATGCCAGAGTATATAGGAATAGCCAATTTCTGAGGTAATAGAAAGGCTAGGGGAAAATTATCATGTTCTTGTTGATTCATGTATATCCCCTTTCAGTCAGTATGCTGGTGCCTTATCGAGATTATAAATAGACATTTGGACATAGTTCAAAAGAAATTTAAGAAAGTGCATTCCTCTACAAGAGTAGATGTGGAAAGACCCATTGGATTATTAAAATGCAAGTTCAGAAGATTAAAGTCTTTAGACATGCATCTGCAGGAAGAAATTCCTGAAGTTATCACAGCTTGCTGTGTAGTTCATAACGTGATTTTAGATTGTGAATGGTAGAAGAGGAGATTTCGTTAGATGATGCAGTAGATAATAGTTCATCAGATCAAGACAATCAAATAAGACAAACAAGTAGCCATGGGGAAACAAAACAGAGAAAGATAGGCAACTTGTTGTAGACATTTGTAGAAAATACTTGAAGGATCATTTTAAATATAAAAAAATTTACATATAAACTTAACAGATATAGGCAACTCAATAGTCACTTATTTAATTAAAGCAGCTTATGTATAAGAGTTATCATAATTAATTGTAGTTGTTTATAACGTGTTATCAATATAATATATTTTTAAATAAAAGCAGACAAGTTAACGCATACGTATTTCATAGTAGCTTGGGTGGAAGTTTAATAAAATATTATGTTATATTTACAATGCTTTATTACTATGTAATACCTCCAAAGTTGACAAAACAATTAAATTATGAAATTGATCATTATTCTTTACCTGCTCAACTGTTTTCTACATGTTTTAATGACATTAAAACTTGCATTTTAAAATTTTCAAGATGATTTTCCTTCAACCCTTTAAAACTATAATCTTATAGCGCTTTCAGAACCCCTTTCAATATCCCCAGACTTTTTCCAATTTTACCAATGAGTTTGTCTAGAAAATCGCATGCATTTTTAGTGTAGCTAGTGATGACAACGATATTTTCGAATCATTTCTAGATGACAACGATATGGTTCCATATTATTAGTTGTTGGTGTGAGTTGCCTCCCTTTAGAAACGTGCTTCGTTTTTTGGCACTGTTTTCTTGCCATCATATTTCGTAAATCCATAGGAGCGTTATAGAGCCCAAAAGAGGTATATTAATTAGTATATCTTCAAGTTTTTACTTTGATACTTTAATGTGTGTTGTCATTTATTTCATATTTACTATACGTAGGAAAATATACAGTCAAATTGTAGTATGTAATAAGTTTTCGCGATAAGTGTTAATCTTTTCTGATCTGGATATTTTATCTAAGAGTTGAAATCAACTAAATAAGTATGCCATTTTTACATGTATGTTGTTTGCTAGTGATCGAATATGTGTGTAATGTTTGTATTTGCAGTTCGACGGAGACGTCGGAGATCTTGAACGCAAAATAAAATCTCAACGAACAAACGTCTTCTGTCTACTCTAGGGCCCAAACAAGCCACATTTACAGTCGAACTCTTGGTCAACTCAACGTTTGGATGTTGACAATGATGGTCGTCACCATGCAAAGACAGCGATAACGATAGTCTTTACGAAATTATCAGATTATTCAATGAGTAACAGTAAACTGTTGAAGTCAATTGAACTCTTGAGTAGTTCATCCAAACCAGATTCTTTAACTTGGAAACCTGTGGTACTTGCTGATAGCAAAGGCAAATATATTGAAAGTTCAGTTCAAAGGTCATCAAGGCCAGAAAATCTAATTTTATGGGTTTGTAAAGCTGGTTGGAAATCATCTGATGTTGCTAAATGGATTGAACAAAATCTTGAAACTCTATTAAAAACTCACCAATTTATTAGTTTGTATGTGTGGATCGGCACCTGCGATTTGACAGTAAAAGGTAAAAAATATATCCAACTGCGACGTAATTCTACAGAAGCATTAGAACAAAATTTACAAAAAATTAAGAACCTCATCACAAACTCTAATGTAAAACTAACATTTTTTCATATCCCGTATTATTCCATTCGACTCTGGAACGAAACAAAAGGACATGAAAATCCTTCATCTTATAAAGAGAGCGATGACCAACTTACATCACTCATCGACACTGCAAATGGTTTTATAGATAAATTGAATTTGGAACAGAATACTTCATCTCCCAAGTTCAACGAAGACTTACGAAGAAGCCGGAAGTCAAAGGGACGAAAGGCTCGTTACTCTACAAATTACAGTCTACTTCTTGATGGAATTCATCCAAAGAAAACTTTGGCAACACTTTGGCTATTGTCAATGAAGAAGAAAATATTCAAAGACTGTGCTTAAATGATTATATGACTTTTGATGTAGGCAGGGAATGTCCAGCCACATCACTGCAAAAAAAACAATTGTATCTGTATTTGTATCAACATATTGCTTGCGTTGTTTGCAATTTGATCGAGTCTCATAATATTATGAAATCTTAGGTTGACTTTGATGTAGGCAGGGAATGCCCAGTCGCATCACATTGAATTAGCTTCACATTGAATGCCTTTCAATAGTAGTGTGTACTAATTTTTTATTTTTTTTATGTATAACTTAGTAGGTGAAAGTATCTTAACATACGTTTAAGGATTAAATTTTAGGTAACTTAAATTCATTTAAGTAAGCTACAATCTTTTAGGTTTTTTTTTCTTTTCTTTTTTCACCTGATGCATTTCTTACTGTTTTTAGCCTTTTTAGGTCATCCGCAGTTTTATTACATAAAAGGGCGACAACTTTAACATTTAAGAAATTGCCTTTGTACATCATGAAATAGTTAAATAACTTGAAATCAATTGTACATATACATGCAACTGTACTGTTAGTTCTAAAGGAGCTCTCAGTACCTTGTGATCATTTTTTGTTCGTTACCTTTGTATCGTTTCTTACACTCCTCCCTAAGATAGGCAAAATGGATGAATGTTCGGGGAATGATAAGGTGGAAGAGTCTATTGAGATTTCTGAAAAACGTGACAGAATTCCTACTGAGAAGGGTCTTGCGTGGAAAACTGATATTTACGTACGCGACATTAGGTCTTTGATATCACGCTGGCATCGTTGTTCTCAACAGTTAAATATACATTTATCAGACACAGAAGATTCAAAACTCATAGTAAAGGAACGCGACAATTTAGTCAATATAATGAATGAGTTAAGCAATAAGTATACAGAATTAAGTGAGTTACCACAATGTGATGAGTTAGATAATATTAGGCTAAGATATGAGTCAATTGAGGCGGACCATAGTAAGCTTTTGGCCAATACCTCTGAAATTCTTCGTGAGTTGAAGGTGGCAAGTGTGGAATTTCGTTCTTGTTCTTCTTCTAATTCAAAACATTCACACAAAAGCAAAGGTTCTGAAAGTTCTTCACACCACTCATTACTATCAAACAAATCTTACCTTGCAGCTAAAACTGCTGAGTTAAAGGTCAAACTCAAATACCTTGATGTTGAATCCAAAGCCAAGTTGGAATTTGATCGTGTTAAAGCCTTGAAGGGGTTGGAACTAGCCCAGGCAAATATGGAGGCTATAGACGCTGACGTCATTGATTTTGAGGAGCCATCCCGGTCTGAAGCAAAACCAACATTGCCTTCAGTCGACCGAGACAGTTATACGAAAGACTACGTTCTCGCACACACTGCTGTTAAAGATGAAAGACTTGAATCATCTCAAACCAATCATCCTATTGAACCTTCCATTAAGGTAGAAAATCAGGACCAGCCAGTCTTAGGTCTTCCTCGCAGACTTTCTAATTCTACTATCTCTAGTTCAAATCTGAATCCTTCTGTAAGTGAATTCTATCCCAAACCTGTACATACACATTGTGAGGGACCAGCATTTTCAACTTCCTGTACCACGTCTCATCCTACAGGCCCATTTTGTTCTCACAGAGAAACTTACTCTTCACAAGGTTTACCAGTTAATGCACCGGTGCCTAGTTTTAACGCTGAACAAGGAATCATTGAGCTTGCTAAATCGCTTGCCGAACAAGTTAGTCTAACTAGGTTGCCTCCCCCTGAACCCACAGTATAATATTAGTATTATTATAATTAGTATGAATTAATTTTAGTTTGATTATGTAAGTCTTGTGTACAAGACTTCGTCCGTGACTTCTGGTGAGATTCAACATGGCAGTGTCCAGTTCGCAGAAAATACAGATTTTTGGACACTCTTTCGTACGGCGTTGTAACGATTTATTATGGACTCAGAATCACACTACTTTCATCTTAATTTGGATGGGTCTCCCCTTATACACTTAACGGCTTTTCTAACTCCACATTTTCATCTTTTATTATCTTTTTTATTAAGAGTATTAATTTGATCAATTTTTGTCTACCGTCATTAAACGGGTTGATAATATTTTGGCATGTATAAAATTGAGCGTAAACCAGTTCAAACTATCTGTTACGAGATGCACGTGCATTCCGTGCATTTTGTATCTTGTCATTTATACAAAAATTGTACACCTACAAAATTGATAAGAATTTCATG